ACACTGGTGAAAACTACAGATGACAGGAAAAAGAATCAGAGAACATTTTTGAGCAGCACTTTTGTGTGTGTGTATGCACATGAGAACACAGGAAACAGAAAGGGACTGATTTCTCCTGTGGAATTTGGTCTGGGAATTTCTGCCTGAGAATTTGGTAATTCAGGAACATACAGATTTCCCACACCCTCTCCCAGTCCTATCTCTTCCTAAACACCACCCTCTGATCCAGGCTCTTTGGTGTTTAAATGTGTGTAATTAAAGGCCATAGCCAAGGAATCACAAGTCATTTTCAGATGCAACAGGTAATGATTTTACCCTTCATCACAGATGGAAAAGATATGACTATTTTAAGCTATTAGATGGTATTTAAATGCTGGTTGGACAGATGAATGAATTCGTGATTCAGTTATGATAGCAAACAGGTAAACGTTTGTAAGAAAGAAAAGCTTGAGTATTAAATAAAAAACCCGAAAAACCCGTGCTGTCAAGTAACTGGGCTCATGGCAACCTCGTGTGTGTCAGAGTAGAACTACATTCCATAAGGTTTTCAACAGCTGCTTTTTCCATTATAGATTGTCACCTTTTTGGTGAGTTAACAATTTGTACCATTCAGTGCCATCCAGTCGGTTCTGATTCACGGCAACCCTATATAGGCTTTCTGAAGAGAAACTGGTCGTTTTGAGGCACCCATCTTTAACAGAAGTTGAAAATCATCAGAAGTCTCCAGTTTGCAATGCACCTTGTCTGCTGAATCTCTTCGCAATAGCCATTCCGGCCTCATGAGCCCACACTTCGTTAAGGAGGACTTACTCTAGTTTCCTGAGGGTCTTAGACTCGGTGAGAATCGAAGCCATTAGAAAACTTGTCTTTGATGAGAGGACAGTTAACTGTTGTCCTCAGCTGGTTTGATTCCACACCGGACAGAAGTGGAGGCCAGAGGTCTTAAATTCTGCAAAGGGAAGAAGCGGGCTGGGAGTGGAGATAGTAAATGATAGGGGGAGGGGGAGGTGGGTAAGAAAAGTGGGTGGGGCGAAGGAAGGGTAAGAAGTGCGAAAAGAGATGTCTGCGGTTGCGGTATTTGGGGCTGTGGTTGTCTCCGGTTGGGGTGTTTGGGGCGGTTCCTCCTCAGCAGATAAGTAGTCCCCACCCCGACTCGGACTTCACTTCATTCGCCTGCAGCCGAGCCGATGGAGCGCACTCCCGGCACCGCGTCCACCCATGTCTTCTTGCTTCTACTGCTGCTGCCCGACTGGACGTCGCTGACAAGGGCCGGTAAGTTCCACGATCCGCTGACAAGGGCCGGTAAGTTCCACGATCCGGAGAGGGGGTCTTCTCTAGAATCTGGCTTCGCCATCAGAGCTCCAAGTCGTCTTCTCAGACTCCCTGCAGTCGAGGGAGTGGTCCTGTGATGCTTCTTGCGGTCCCTGCCTCCTGAGCCAGAAGCTGGGACTGGAAACGAAGCATGTGTTCAAAAAAAAAGAGCGAGAGAAGACAGGTGCAGAGAGATTTCCGGAGTTCAACCCCTGCCCTCTCCAAGTTCTTCCTCGGTTCCCCCTCCTGACCTGTCACCTCACCCCAAATACCCCCTCTCCCACCTGCCCACGAACCCAACTGGCCCCACCCCTCCTACCCACCACCTGGCACCCTGAATACCCTTATACTCGATCTTCCTCTTGTCTCCTCCTCCACCTGCCTCTCCCCCTCCTGCCATCACCTCCCCTACCCCACCCCACTGCCATGTGTGACTTTGGGGAAGGATGGAGGAATTCTGACACTTGCCGTGCAGCTAAAGATTCAAAATGGCCAATACCAGGCCATTTCAGCTCACTAATGCCTAAGATATCGATGTTTATGTGACCATTTCATTTTTGGCAACTTCCAGTTTTCCCAGATTCATACTTCCTACATTCCATGTTCCGATTTTTAATGGATGTTTACAGCTATTTCTCTTCATTTTGAGTTGTGCCCCACCAGCAAATGAAAGTCCCACAGGCTTTACTCCATTGCATCATCACGGTGAAGTCTACTTTGAGGAGGCAGCTTTTCCCCAGTCACATTTTGAGTACCTTCTAACCTGAGGAGCTCATTTTCCGGCACTGTGTCTGACAGTGTTTCTCTGCTATTCATAAGGTTTTCAGTGACTAAATATTAGGAAGTAGTTCGTCACTCTTTCTTCCTAGTCTGTCTTCGTCTGGGAGCTCATTGAAACCTGTCCACCATGGGTGACCCTGCTGGTATTTAAAATACCGGTGGCATAGCTTTCAGAATCAGCAACCCACAAGCCACCACAGTATGACAAATTGACAGACGAGTGGTGGCTTGGTGTCGTAGTGAGTGTCTAATCGTCCTCTTCTCCCCATCCCTACCCTCACCTGAGATTTTTCTCTTACAGATGCTCATTGTCTTTGCTACAACTTCACTGTCATGTTTAAGTCCCCACCTGAACAGCCATGGTGTAAAGTTCAAGGTCAGGTGGATGAAAATACTTTTCTTTACTGTGACTGTGGAACCAACAAGAGCATAAACTTGAGTTTCCTGGGGAAGACAGTGAATGCCACGAAGGAGTGGGAGGAACAGATCAAAACATTAAGAGAAGTGGTGAAAGAGCTTCGACTGAAAATATCTGACATTAAACTGGAGAATTACACAACCACTGGTAAGTTTGAGAAGGCCCATGCTTAGAGATGGTCAACTGGGCAGAAACAGTAAAAGAGCAGATGTTTAAGGATATCTGTTTAAGGGTCACTATATAGAGTATGAAGGAGCTCTGGTAGCGTAGTGGTTACGAATCGGGCTGCGAACCATAAGGTCAACGGTTCGAAACTACCAGCTGCTCTGCAGGAGAAAGATGAGGCTTTCTACTCCCGTAAAGATTTACACCCTCGGAAACCCTGTACAGGGTCGCTATGGGTCGGAACCGACTCGACGGCACTTAACAACAACATATAGAGTATGAGCTATAACAACAACAACAAAAAAAGTTGATCTGAACTAGAAGCCCTTCACCATGGACAGAATGTAGAAGATAGAAGAGGCCAGGAGGTAGGAGGGGAACAGAAGAGGTGGATGCTGGGTGCAGGTCAGGTCTAGTAGGTGATCTCTCTCCATGGGGGGCAGCTCCTCTCACCCTACAGGCCAAGATGTGTTGTCAGCGTACAGCAGGTAAGCGCACCGGAGCATCCTGGAAATTCGGCTTTGGCGGACAGACGTTCCTCCTCTTCCATTCGAGGAGCAGGAATTGGACAGAGGTTCGTCCTGGAGCCAGGCTGATGAAAGAAAAGTGGGAGAAGGACAGAGAACTGAACGGATTCTTCAAGAGACTCTCAGAGGGAGACTGCAATAAATGGCTTAGAAAGTTTTGGGACCACTGGGAGAAAATACTGGAGCCAACGGGTAAGTAAGAAGGGAGAACAATGTGGTAGTTTCCCTTTCTGTGTGTGTGTGTGTGCTTGAGAAATGGATCCATCCTTGATGAACTCTTCTTGGGAGAATAGTGGACACCGGGATTTCAACCCATCCTCCCTTTCCATTCTCACCTCCTCTTCATCACTACAGGCATCTGTGGTCCCTTCACAGTAGGTTGCTTGCTGACTTCAAACATGTGGTATCATTATCTTTCCAGATCTTATCTTCTTATTAGTCCTTCTTCCTGGAATCACTTTCCACTTTCACATAGTGTATTTCTGGAACCCCTTCATAGCCACCTCATATGTCAGCTGCTGAGATGGCTTTGCTCCCATTCTCCAGTACCATCTCTGTGACCACAGCCACAGTGCTTTGTTGTATTGTAAACTTTTGCCTTTGCCACTAAATGTCTGAGCTCCATGAGGACAGGCCCATCTCATACTCATCTTCAGCCCTGGGACCTGTCATAGCAGCTGCCACACAATGGAGGGTTAGAAGATGTGTATATTGTTAGGTTACATGGGAAGGCAAGAGTGGAGGAAGGTATCTCCTCAAAGGCTTTCATTCTTCTGTCTCCACTGCAGCACAACCTACCGTGTCCCCAGCCCCAGTCCCAACCACTGCCACAGCCATCATACTGAGCCCCTGGATCCTCAGTATCACCTTTACCTGCTTGATTCTACTTGGCATCCAAGGGATAGTCCTTTAGAGTGACAGGTACTGTGGTCTGTATAGGGTGGGAGCTAGATATGAGGACTGGGGAGAGGTTTACCCCTACCTCAGTCACTTAACCTTTTCATCTGGAATATGAGACATGGTAAGTATGACCTCTTAGCAATTGAGAACAGAGACTTGGACTTGGTTAGTGTTAAGTTGGATGAATCTTTACTGTCAAATGTCCATTGGAAAGGAGAAAGGTCCAGACCAGGCTTAACAAAGTCAGGCCTGATGCAGAACAAGATCTCTACTGGGAAGAGAATCCACGTGGAGGGTGGTGTGGAGACAGCAGGAAGACAAGGAATGGACAGTGGTAGAAATTTGGTGAGGCAGCCACAGGCTTACTTCAGATGATGAAATCAAGAATAAGGGAATTCCACCCATCAGTCAACAAAATGGGGGCCATAAAGGGCTTTGCCAGCCCAACCCAACAGACTCAAGTTCATATTCCCACAGATAATGTCTTAGGTTGCAGCTATGAGGGTAGAAGGCTCTTAGTAGAAATGGGGCCAGGACTAGGTTCAGAAGGAAGTTGGGTCTTAGTGGACACCTGGGAATCCTGGCTCAGCCCTGGTACAAAGCACATGACGATTAATCTCATGCCAGACTCCAGATCTTGGTGGCAACTGACAGCCCATCTGTCTAAATAAGAGAATGACAGAGTAAAGCTGGAGCAGGACTTGATCGTTGGAGACAGGGATAGTCATGCTCAGAGCTATGTGTGCTGCCATAGGGAGGGGAGAAGGCCAGAGAGACTGGGGTACCCAAGATCCAGGTCCCTCTCTGGAAAGGGCTTGTCTCTACCTGAAAGGCCCTGACACCAAAGGGTGGACAAAGACAGAGAAAGGAGACAGATGAAGTCACTCCTTGCTCCAGTCTATGCCCCAACCATTAGTAGTAGGACCTAGACTGACTTTGTTATTGCAGAAACAGAAGGAGACAGCTGGTATAGGCTGAGTGTGGAATATTGGGAATCACATGATCCTTGTTGTTAAGTGCTGTCAAGTTGGTTCCGACCCATAGCAACCCTGAACAGGGATTCCAAGGCTGTAAATCTTTATGGGAGCAGAAAGCCTCATCTTTCTCCCATGGAGCAGCTGGTAGTTTCGAACGGTTGACCTTGCAGTTCGCAGCCCTATTCGTAACCACTACACTATGAAAGCTCCTTCACATGGTCCTTAGTGGGGGCATATTGACATTGAGAAGTAACCAGGAGGGCGAATCCAAGAAGAACTAACACAAGATTTTCTAAAACACTTGTATAAATATGTGTTTCCTTTCAGAAGGCTGAATAATGCTACCAAGAAACCCCAAAGACTATGGTCTAATCCAGTCACTCTTCCTCCTGACCTGCTTCTCCATCACCTGCTCTTCATCTCTCCACCATCAGGAGGGTCAAACATTAGAGCAGAGCCAAAGGCTCCCAGAAGACCCTGATGATCCTGCGCATGCACCCTTCCCTCCTCTCTCCTGATCATGCTGTGTCTTTTCCCCTAGGTGATAACTGATGGAGTTCCGGCTGACCTTTCTATTGGCTGGAAGAAGAACTCTCCACAGAGAACATTTTCCATCTTCTTTTTGGTTGTGGAAAACCAGGAATGTCTCAGAATCATGACAAAGTTATCAGCAGTTAAAATACTATGTGCAGACTCAGGAGTTTAGAGAATGTTTCCTCTTATCTTAAAAAGATCAATATTATATTTATCATTGGTTACTTTATTGCCTGTGGTGATATTTAAATAAAGTCACTAATTTATTAAATGTTGAATTACTTGGTAATTTTATTTTATAATCGTGGAAAGAACTATTGGTACTTCCTTCTTCCACATTGTGGTGGAAATAATGCTAATTTACTCCATTAGATTTCTTAATGAAGCAGAGACTTCAACTAGCTCACTTAAATTATCAGTCAAACAGTCTGGCTGTCACTCTCCTGTTAGGCCAGGTGCAAAGACATACCAAGTCCTATGGATTGGGAATTTTTCTGATTTTTTCCAGCACAAACCACCTCCTCCAAGCATTATTCTTGTCAGTCCTTCATGCTTTACTATGCCAGGAATGACAAATTCAAGAGGAATGGCATCGCATTCATCATCAGAAAGAACATTCGAGATCTATCTTGAAATACAACACTACCTGAGACAGGATATTATCTATACGCCTACAAGAAAGACCAGTTAATACCATTACTATTCAAATTTACCCACCAACCACTGAAACCAAGATGACAAAATTGAAGAATGCATTCAGTCTGAAATTGATTAAATATACAATCAAGATGTATTGATAAGAATCATTCCCACCACCCTCCACACACAGAGTAGAGAGGGAAGGGCAACTTGGACATTGGCTACCCAAAATGGGGGTGGGAGTGGGGGGCTACAAAGGCAAGAAGTCTGGCTTACAAGCTTTCCAGAGGGAACCTAGATCCAGAGGGCCTGGAGGAAGGTAGAATCTCCAGTGAGTAGTATCCAATCTGTCTAGGCAGGGCTGATGAAATGAAATGCAGATGGGTCTCTTGTGATACAATAGTGAATAATTGTTATCAGGACTGATTGTGAGGGTTGGAAATGTAAAGGTAGATGTTTTATAGCAAGGAGGGGAGTGATTATCTTTCCAGTCTAGGAGCGGAGGTCCCTAGGACCATCAACGGAGAAGAGCAGAGAGCGGGACCCTACCCAGAGAAGCAGTGATGCCTGAGATGGAGGCAGAGACAATGATGTGGAGCAATGGAGCAGCTGGGGACTTTAGATTCAGAGAGGGAGAGGGACTGTGTGCAGAAGACCGGGAGTGTGGAGGGGGCAGGATTGCAGTTATACCCTTTGGTTGGTTGATGATGCATGGAGGGGATTGTAACCATGGCAATGAGGGGATATACAATAGAATGAATGTAAAACTAATGTTCTCCCATGTAAAATATCATATAATTCACAATAAAACCTTAAAAAAAAAAAGGTGTATTGATAGTTGTTGCTTATTGGAATGAGATGGTTGGAAACAAAGAGGAAGAATTGGTAGTTGCTTTTGATAGTAGAAATGATGCTGGAGAATTTTGTAAGAATCCATTGCAATTATCTTTTTTAAACAGCATAAAAGAAGACTATCCACATGGACCTCACCAGATGGAATGTACAGAAATCTAATTGACTACATTTGTGGAAAGAAACGATGGAAAAGCTCCATATCATCAGCCAAAACAAGGCCAGGGGCAGACTGTGGCAGACCATCAATTGCTCATATGTAAGTTCAGGCTGAAGCTTATGAAAATTAAAATAACTCCATGAGAGCCAAAATATGACCTTGAACATGTGCCACCTGAATTTAGAGATCATCTCATGAACAGATTTGATGAATTAGGCACTAACAACCAAATACCAGAATTGGTATGAGATGACGTCAAGCACATCATTCAGAAAGAAAGCAAAAGGTCATTAAAAAGGCAAAAAAGAAAGAAAGACCAAACTGGATGTCAGAAGAGACTCTGAAACTTACTTTCTAGGAAGATATATAAAGTGAATGCAAGAAATGAGGAAATAAAAGAAATGAAGAGAAAGTTTCAAAGGGCACCTCAAGAACACAAAGTCAAATATTATAATGAAACATGCAAAGACCTAGAGTTAGAAAACCAAAAGGGAAGAACATGCTCAGCATTTCTCAAGCTGAGGGAACTGAGGAAAAAAGCCAAGCCTCGACTTGCAGTATTGAAGGATTCTATGGGTAAAATATTTAATGATACAGAAAGCATCAAGACAAGATGGAAGGTATATGCAGTTACTGTACCAAAAAGAAATGGTCAATGTTCAACCATTTCAAAAGGTTCTGAATAAAGAAGTCCAAACTCCACTAAGGAAGGATGGGTGGGTGGGTGGGTGGTGTGCCATGGCGTTGGTTCTGACTCTTAGCAACCCTACATAACGTTTTTGAGGCTGCAAATCTTTACGAGAGCAGAAAGCATCATCTTTCTCCTGAGGAACAGCTGGTAGTTTCAAACTGCTGACCTTAAGGTTCGTAGCCCAACATGTAACCACTATCCCACCAGAACTCAAGCTGCCCTGAAGGCATTGGCAAAAACAACAACAACAACCAAGGCTCCAGGAATTAACGGAATATAAATTGAAATCTTTCAACAAAACTGATGCAAAACTTGACTCACTCATTGATTTATTACAAGAAATCTGGAAAACAACTACCTGGCCAGCCTACTGGAAGAGATCTATCCATATTTGTGCCCATTCTAAAAAGGTGACCCACTGGAATGCAGAAATCATTGAACAATATC